CAGGCGGCCAATTTAAATTCTTGCTTTTCGAATTATTCTTTTTTCTGCAAATGTGAAGAGATTTTGGGACCGATTAGACTTGATAAGTATAATATACTCCTAACTCGATCAGTCTATAAGCAAACCAGTATCATCTTCCATAGCATGAAATAAGCCCATTGGCAATACAACTGAAAGAGTCGACCTTCAGTTTTGGAACGGGCACACTTGCAGACCGGTTTCGGGCTCATTAGCCACTCATCAATGATATCCATAATTGAAAATCGGAATTCTTTCAGATATGGACCCTGTAGTACATTGGTACGGGAGGCACGAGATATATCGCCGACTTAAAGTCAATTTTCACTTTCCGTAAGAACGTAAGAAAAAAAAAGCTTCAACGACGCAGACTTCAACCTTCTTATACACACTTATAGTATTTGGAAAGACATGAGGTTTAAAACATTGAAACCAACATATTCTGTTGGTCATACCGAACAGTTCAAACCAAAAAAATTGAACAACCATCTGTCGCCAGTCAAGTATTCAGAAATTGAAACATTTATCCTTTCTGGGAATCACACATGCAATTTTCATGTGTCCAACTGCAGCTCTAGAAGTTTGAGTAAAGAAAGAAGGCGATTAGGGCCTTCATCTCACATAAAAACCAGTTATCAAGGTTCAGATGTATGCTATGTTGGTTCCTTCTACCTTCTTTCGAAACAGGTTTAGAATCTTGTTCATTCATATCTTTTTTTTCCAAGCTGACGTTTTCGAAGACTACAAATAATTTTTACACTTGCTACTGATACGATGTTCGCTACTCGAGTTCCTCGATGTTTATGAGCTATCGCTGACATTATTTAAATTTGACATACTTTGTATAAGATTATCTATACATCCCAGCCAGTTCAGGAATCCAATAAAGAACAAACTAATTTGTCGTCTTATCCGCTATATTGAATTAGAATTGAGTTTTTAGAGGTCACTCACGTTTGCGTATGGATTCTTTATCTTAATCGATTGATAGTTATGTACTGAGTACACCAAAGTCGTAATTTCATTTTTTTTTATTCGAACTGAATATAAATAGCTGATGTGAAGTATCGCAAAAGACGAGATCAAGTTTGTTTTTTTTGCTATGGAAATATATTCCGGTTAGAGACAGTGTAGCAAAATATAATAATTAGCTTGAACACCGACGAAACCTGTTGAATGCTGGGAATTTCCTTGGGAATGGGAGAAAAAACATAATAGAATATTAATCATAATTTACATATTTTTGTATGTTTTGGAAAACAATTCAGTGTGAGTATAACAGTGGCGTGGTTCGGGGGGCTCTAAAACATTTATTTATTTCTGACCGGGATATTATAAGCTTATATCGTCATAGTTACGCTATCAATAAAGAGGGTCATAACTCCCTTGGGACATTATAGATTTTATAATTCCCTCTACCTTTCACAAGTAAAAATAAATAGAAATGAAAACTGAACCATATTTTATTTATTCACGTCATTACAAATAATAAATGTACAATTTTGAAATGTTCCCTGAAAATTACTTCCGCCACTGGAAACAATTTCTTCTTTTGTATGGCTGGAGCTTCTGTTCACTACAGTCGAGGTACCTGCCTCTTCTGATGACAAAGTAGACAACATACGCGCCGTTTTATTTCTCAATTCGATGCTATCCTCCAAATACCCCTCCGCCACCGTGGAACTTTTCCAACCTCCGTGTCTTTTTAAGTTAGTCATAGTTGCTCCTGCATTGGC